CCCCCCCCCCAACACCAAATAAATATATATATTAATGATGCCTGGTGGTGAAAATTGTCGTACCAGCCCGTTGACTGCCACCATCAAGACTCGTCGGAGACCAGTGGATTTTGTCGAATACGCAGAGGAAAATGGCAATGGAAAAGTTGATTTTACCGCACAAAACCTCCACCAGCTTGGTCATCATCAGCATAGAACTAGAACGGTTTCCCTAATAAGATATATGAGACCAGGAAGATATCTGGGCCGTTGGATTTTTGGAGCATTATTGTTATTAATGGTTTCAACCATGTTTGTGAAGATTATGCTGATACACTTCTTTCTTAGAGTCAATGCCACGATGAGTTCCCGTGATTTCTTGCAACTTCCACGTACTTCTCTTGAAGTACGAGACCTCATGCATGCTAAGGTTAATTTCCATTTTCTTTGTTGTCAAAATATTCAAATTTATGATTATATTTTCCCCACCGTTATCAAATGCATGCATAAAAGAAAAAAGAGGAAATCTTTTACATTAATATTGTATCTCTATATATGTTTGAATGATATTGTACTCATTATGGATTATGCTCGATGTCTCTCCTCAGAATAGTGAAATCTGGATGAACCCTGGAACTGATAAGTATTATAAATGCATTGCTCGACCAATTAAAGAGATAAGTATGTATACTTAAAAGTACTTAAATATTTTGGCTTTGCTTATTGAATTTTACACCTTTTCATTTATGCGATTTCTGTAAGTTGTGAAACTCCCTCAGGAGACAAAACTATCAGCAATGGTTATATTCTAGTTCATGCAAATGGCGGATTAAACCAAATGAGAACCGGGGTAAGACTTTATTGCCAGCTTTAAGTTTAATTATAGGTTTTGGCTTTTGAGTTATTGGTGCTTCTATATGAGTTATAGGTAATATACTTTACACAATATGTGTGTTTTAAATTAACTATTGCTAACCATCTGCATTGAGCATAATTATGACCAAGAAAAGAGGATAGATAACCTGCAGCTACAACCAGTCATATTAGAGCTCTTAAAATTAAAATTCTTTGTACAGTGAATATAAATCAATTTCATCTTTTATTTATTTATAGTCCGCACCTGGGTGCTTTTTATCCGTAAGTTCTAATATCCGTGAGTCGAGAGTGAAAATCAATTAAATCAACTGTATGAGTAGTACTTTTGAAGTGAAAAAAGCTCAAAAGTGGTAAATTATAGCCTATTGAGTTTTATCATGAATTATTCAGAGGATAAATAGTTTAGAACTTTCTAAGCTAATTAATCCGCATACATACTGATTTTTTCATGCATACACGAATGAAGTGTAGACTTTGATGCAAGCTAATAGGTTAAAAAAATCTATCATTTGACAATATTTATAACTTAAATCCTTTAGTGAAAATTAGTAATAGCTCATGTTTTTGCTAAACTTTGTTGCAGATAAGCGATATGGTAGCGGTAGCAAAACTAATGAATGCCAGCTTGGTTGTTCCCTTGTTAGATCACAAATCCTTTTGGACAGATCCTAGGTGAAAAATTAATGTACTTCCAATATTCTACTGCATCTCAAATGAAGAGAATTGCATGCATCTTACCACTGATCCTTTTTTTTACAGTGAATTCAAAGATATATTTAACAGGAAGCATTTCATAAGAGCTTTGGAAGATGACATTGAAGTACTGGAGTCTCTTCCTCCAAGTCTTGCAAATGTGAAACCTCTTATGAAGGCACCTGTTTCTTGGTCAAAGGCACGCTTCAGATAAATTAAATATGGATGGTGTGTTTCTGCTTGGCTGATATATATCTAAAGTAACAATTGTTGGTTTTGTGCAGGCCAGTTACTACAACAGAGAGATTCTGAAGCTATTGAAGAGACACAAAGTAATAGAATTCACTCATACTGATTCACGACTCGCTAACAATGCCATCCCAGATTTTATCCAAAAACTCCGCTGCCATGCCATGTATGAAGCACTTCGTTTTACTGAGGAAATTGAACAACTTGGAAAAAAGTTAGTAAACAGACTCTGGGAAAATGGTGAACCGTATATAGCTCTCCATTTGAGGTACAAAAACAAGAATCTTGAAAATTCACACCCCTCCATCTTTTCCATTTTATATGATACTCTTTTCTGTCTAGTTAGTCTATTCCAAGAAGAGTGACACATTTCTACTCTTTGGAAACTCTTTAACTGTGCTCTTATAGCCATAGAAATGTCATGACACCTTTAAGAGCACAAGTTGTAAGGGTACATATATACTATCGATCTTCGTTAGTAACTAGAGAGTTACATTCATGACAGATATGAGAAAGATATGCTGGCTTTCACAGGCTGCAATCACAACCTTACCAGAAAGGAATCTGAGGATCTTCGAAAATTAAGGTACAAAACCAAGCACTGGAAAGAGAAAAGGATAAATGGAACAGAAAAGCGGCTACAAGGGGGGTGCCCAATGACACCTCGAGAGGCTGCCTTGTTTCTCGAGGCAATGGGATATCCATCCAACACTAAAATCTGCATAGTTGCAGGAGAGATTTTTGGCCAAAATGGATTGAAGGTTCTTCAAGAAAGGTACCCAAATATATATTCCCATTCCAATTTGGCAACAGAGCAAGAGTTGGAACCTTTTATGCAAAGGCATAATCAGCTTGCTGCACTAGACTATATTATAGCTCTTCACAGTGATGTTTTCCTCTACACCTATGACGGGAATATGGCCAAAGCTGTTCGTGGTCATCGTCTATTTGAAGGCTTTCGGAAAACCATCAATCCTGACAAGTACGTAAAATCAATGGTCAATTCGTACAATTTATTTTCTTGCTTGCCTGTGCTATAGTTAAATAGTTTTGTTCACTTGTTTTCTGTTCTTTCTTTGACATGTTAGACTTCTTTCAGGAAAAATATTGTTAGACTTATTGATGAAATGGACAACAAGAAGCTAACTTGGGAAGAATTTGCGACTCAAGTTAGGGGCTTACATGTAAACAGGACAGGAGCACCAAATGCTAGAGTTGTTGGTGATTCACCAAAATTGGAGGAAAATTTCTATGCAAATCCTTTCCCTGGTTGTGTTTGTCCAAGACCAGAAGAGAAGAGCAAATGACTGCTGAGGTATTAGAAACAATAGAAGGCAATATAAGCCTAATTGCTTATAGGCTTCCAATGGCTAAATTTTGCAATCTCAGTCGCAGATGGAGAAGTCTGATGAGTAAGTTTCTCCTCCGCCGCACAGAGCCAAAGACCAGTTAACTCGGAGCCATATCGGATTTATTGTATATATCATACTCAGCTTGCTGATTCTTCACTAATTGAACATTTAGAACGGGGAAAATCCATAAAAAAATCAAGTACAATTACTCAATAGATAGATGCTTATACAAATCAAGTTTACATATAAGCCATCAGATTATTTAAGCATGTATATATATTTAACTTCTGCTTTGCGGACAGTGTTGAATTTGGCAAATCCCACATCGGTGGTTTAGCCATTTGGTAGGGAATTTTTCCCTATGAAAGGAGGTCTAATGTTTAGGATTTAGATACACCTCTCATTTGCCTTCTTATCTTTTTAAGGCATTTGTATCTTCTCTCTTTAGTATTAT